TCTTTTTTTTCTTGAGGTTTCTTTGATGTTTGGTAAATTGGCTTCTGTGCTCCCGGTCCTTCTTAAAAGAATTTTCCTCAGCCCTTCTCCTGGGCATGACTTCCAAATGTGTCTCCACATTTGCTATGATTCCACTTCATTTCACAAAGGCTTTGGTATCAGCCTTGGTTTTGTCCCATTTATAGTTTTCAGAAAATCGGGGAGCTGATACAGATGAGCCTTATTTCACAAACCGACGCTAGTGTCAATGTCAAACAACAAGGGGTCAGAAATGGCAGGGTTCCACTCACAGCTCCACCATTCCTAATGTGCAACCTTGGCCAAGTCCTGTGACTTCTCTGCATCATTATTCCTTCACTAGTGTATTAGTTTTCCATTGCTGTGTAACAAATTACTACAAATGTAGCAGCTTACAGCAATGCCTGCTCATTATCTCAGCTTCTATGGGTTAGGAGTCCAGGCACAGCTTAGCTGGGTCCTCTGCTCAGCTCTTATTTGAGACTCAGGGTCGTTGCCAAAGTCCATTTGCTTGCAGCTTTAGAAATCTTGATGGCATGTTGGGGCGCTTGGGTGACACAGTCGGACTCTTGGTTTCAACTGGGGTCATGATCTCGAGTTTGTGAGATCGAGCCCTGTGTCAGTCTCCATTCTCAGTGCAGAGTCTGCTTGGGATTCTCTCTCTCCCTCTCCTTCTGCCTCTGCTCATGTGCGTGCTCTCTCTTTCCCCCTCTCTCTCTCAAATAAATAAATATTTTAAAAAGAAAAAAGAAAAAAAAAGAAATCATGGTGGCATGCTTCTATATGGCCAGCATGACTTGAGTCTCGAGCCCCCGAAACTTCTTTAAAAGGGCTCACCTGATTAGGTCAGGCCCACCCAAGATAAACTCCCCTTTAATTAATTTATAGTCAACTGATCAGGGGCCCTGATGACATCTGCAAAATCCCTTCATCTTTGCCACAATGTAACATAATCATGAGCTATATCTCATCATATTCACAGGTCCTGCCCACACTCAAGGGGAGGGGACTATACAGGGCACACATAATAGGGGGCAAAATCTCAGACCATCTTAGAAGTCAGCCCACCACGCCCTTCAACATGAAGATACAAATAGGACCCATCTTATATGGTCACTCTGAAGATTAAATGAGATGGTGAATATAACAGGAAGCATCCAGCCAGCAACAGCTGCTATGATTATTCCAGCATTTCTAAGTACTACATGGCAGGCCCCACGCTAGGAGCTGTGGATTCAGAAAATAATAACATAAATCTTGCTCTAAAAAAGTCATGGCGTTTCTCTAACACTAAATACTCCCCCCTGCCCACCCCAACGCCGTTCAAATCTGGCAAAAAGCAATAAAGCTTTAAAATCCAACTAAATGACTTTTTGATACAAAGACTCAGGTTTGTTTGTTTTTTTTTTTCACTTATTGAAGCCACTGTCAAAAATAAAAAGTGCTGACTCCAATTGAATACTATAATCCACAGGATTATTATTTCCACCCTTAAAATCCCCTCTGGTTTGGCCGCTAACTTGCAGTCAGAGGAGGGCTGTCTGGTAATACTGTGTCAGCACAGGTGAACTCAACTCTCCCTCGGTGTTTCTTAGCCTTGGCTGCTCACGGTCGAATCCCCTGGAGGGCTTGTCCAGGGTCCCACCCGCTGAAACACAGGTGCATTTTGCTGGGGTGCAGCCTTGCTTTGGAAATTTTTAAGCCCCACCCTCTCCCCCAGGAGGCTCCAACGCACCACCAGGGATGAGAATTTCTGCTGGAGCCAAAGTCTGATAGTTTCCTACAGTCTGAAAGCCAAATTCCCCTTAAAGAGAAACTGTTGAAGACAAGATGGGCCAGAAGCGTGAGCGGCGATAAAGGATTTTCCCATTTACTTGCAGCAAAGAGACTGAAATTCAACACATTTCACACCTTTTCAAGCCGCTCTCCCAGGTCTGGACTGCTGTTCCTTTTCGCAGACAGCCCGCCTCTGGGTGGGGAGTAGCTGGGATCGTGCTGAGCAGAGAATACATTGCCCAGAAAGCTGCATGTCTTCCGCTCATTCATTCAGTCTTTATTTACTGTCACCTGCATGTATAGAGCACCTACTGTATGCCAAGCTTCAGGATGGGTGCTGGGCCTTCAAAGACCAGGGGAACCCAAACTGTGCCTTCAAGAGCTCAGAGTCTAATGCCAAGATGCAAAGATGCCCTTCCTGGACCAGACGAGAAGTGCTTTCTGGATTGAGGGCAGGAAGCTACTTTTTAAGTTGTAAATAATCTTTTTAAAAACTTTCTCCATCTTCTAGGACTACGTGTATCTCTCTCCAGGGTTTAATCACTCCCAGAGGGCAGCCTCTTTCCAACCTCCCCTCCTCTCCCTGGCAACCATTCTCTTCCCCCACGCCACCCTGAAAAAAAAATTACCAAGGAGAAGTACATAAAAACTGCCGAAATTGTCATAATTATTGCGTAAGGAAAAAGAACAACACGAAGCCCCAGCCTCCACCCCTCCCATCCCTTCTAACCCTCCGGAGCTTTTCTCCCAACAAAGGGGCACCCTCCACAACCCGGGGCCGCACCCTGAGCTGGGTGGGGGCTGGCTCCTTCCACCTGCAGAATAGCCCCTGCTTCCAGCAGGACTGATTGCCAATGCAGCAGAAAGCAAACACGGACTGAGGAGGCTTTGGCAAAGCCCAGGGAAGCGGCATTCCTCTTTTTTTTTTTTTCTTTTTAGATGGGGAGGGAGGGGTAGAGGGAGAAACAGCATCTTAAGCAGGCTCCATGCCCAGCTCAGAGCCCGAGGCGGGGCTCTGTCTCACGACCCTGAGATCATGACTCGAGCCGAAATCAAGAGCCAGATCCTCAACCGACTGAGCCACCCAGGCGCCCCTGGATGCCTTTTTTAAGATAACGCTGAGCCAGGGGCACAGCTGTTTCAGACAGAGCTGGTGGAGTAAAATTAGGACAGGATTTGGTCTGCCTGGGTCTAGAGGGGACCTTCCCCCCAGAATAACACATGTCCCTAGGGAGACGGGAGAAGGAGTTCAGCTGGCGGTTCATGCCCCCCCCCCCCGCAAAACGCCTTCCCCCTTTCATTTGTCTTATAAATGCTTCCTGAGAATCCACCGTGTACAAGACCCTGGGCTGGGCTCTGCTAAGCCACCACCACCCTACTTCCACCAATGAAGGTTTTTAAAATGTTGGAACCTTACTATGGTCTCAAAAATTAAGTATTTTGGCAGATGCTAGAAAAAGTCATTCTGAGTTATTATTTTTTAAGATTTATTTATTTGACACACAGAGAGAGAGAGAGAGAGAGCACAAGCAGGGGGAGCAGGAGAGGGAGAAGCAAGCTCCCTGCTGAGCAGGGAGCCCGATACGGGGCTCAATCCCAGAACCCCGGGATCATGACCTGAGCCGAAGGCAGCTGCCACACCGACTGAGCCAGCCGGGCGCCCCTGCGTTATTTTTTTCTACTTACTCTGGCATCCTGGGGAAACTGCTATGTCAAGCCTACTTCATTCTCTAGTTTGAAATTCTGTTGGAAGAGCAATGCTTCATCCCGGGGTTGCTGAAAGCTTTCAAGAACCACATGACCAAACACCACCCAGACCCAGGTCTCCCACCCTGGCTGTCCACAACATTGGCTCCTAAAATCTAGAGAAAAGGAAAGGAGCAACACCTAACGTCATGGCTGGCTCAGTAGAGGAAAACCTAGAGGTGGAGTCTTGCCATTAGTTATGGCTTTGGTGCATGGGGCAGGGGGGCGGCGGAGAAGCAATTTTGTCCAACATGTTGGACAGTTGGACAGCTGGACAGTTGGACAGTAGGAAGTTAAATTACACCGTGGCAGGACTGCATCGCATGCTTCAAAATCGTCAGTGTGAAAATCAGTGATTAAGGGTCATGGTGATGAGATCATTTACTCTAGGACTAGAGAGCCTTGTATCTCTAAATGAGCCTTGGATCCCTAAGTTGGTTTAAATGTGGTCACACATAACGTCTAGAATATGAACTGGATGGCTTCAAGTTCCCTGGGAACCCTAGACTTTGGCATTGGATTAGACCAGCCAACCTCGGCTTGGTTTGCTTAAGGCTTGGTCATGGGCCAGATGTCTATCTTGCACAGCAATTTTGAAATTGCTGAGAAAACTTCAGAATCCTCATTTCTATTTTGGAAATTAGCACTTGTCTCCTTGCAGCAGGGGTTGTACCGAAGCATCCACTAATGCAGGGGGTGGCAAACTACAGCCCATTAGGCCAAATTTGTCCTGCCATCTGTTTTGGATGACTTGCAAACTAAGAATGGTTTTGCCGTTTTTAAATGGCTGAAAAAAAAGAAATCAAGAGAATAATGTTTTGTGATACATGAAAATGATATGAAAGTTACATTTGGTGCCCACTGATAAAGTGTTACAGAAACACAGCCACACCTACTCATTTACTTGTTATCTGCGGCTACTTTTGTGCCACAACAACTACGGTGTGTAGTTGCAACAGAGATGATATGGCCACAAAGCCTAACGTATTTACCATCTGGCCCCTCCAGAGAAAGTTTGCCGACTTCTGCGCTAATATGAAAAAATAATTCTGCATAAATCCAAAAAAGTGAGAGGGTCACATAATTCATTATTTAATTAACCTAATTAAATGACCGTAGTGAAGCCCGTAATGATCTTCTCTACTCAGTTAAACCCCCAGAGCAATAATTAACTCAACTCATGTGGCGTCAGCAAAACAATTTGCCAATAATGCATCTAGCAAAGAGAACTGCCCCCTGTGCTTATCATATTCCAAAAAGCAAATCAGACTATCCTATAGGTTCCATGTGTCTCTCCTACCGAGTGCTTTCATTCTTGGTTCTGGGTTGAGGATCTGCTTCCTTCGAACCTCCCTTGTTATTCTGTGGGTGGGGTCAAACACGGAGAAATGAACCCTAGGTCTAGCGCTGTGCATGGATCCTAACAGCATGGCATTTCTCTCCTCACCTCCCTGGAACAGCCTGGAAGCTGCCGCTCCCACTGGGACCTGTTTATCCACTATTAATCTCGAATTTGAGCACCACCAAAGCTGTGGGACGAAGCTGGGACTTTTCTCCTCCAATAGCAAAAAGCTTACGAATACGTGACGTGAGTCTTCCAAGGATCCCTTTTTCCCCTTACCCTTTGCACACTGAGGAATGACAGCGTGCCCCACACGGGGCTACGCTCAGCAAACGAAGCGCTGACAAAGACCAAAGGAGCAGGAGTAAGTGCAGTGAGACGCTCACAGGAAGTCAAGTGGGGGACACAGATCCCTGGGGTAAAGGGTCTGGAAGCCCAGAGGAGGAGGAGTTGGGGGGGGGGCGGTGGGCTAGGGCTTAACTCTGGTGGAGGTGGCCCTTCACTGGAAGCCAAAATCAGAGCCCTGAAAGAGGAATAGGAGTGAGGCCGGGGGAGGAGTAAGGCGAGGGCAGGGGTGGAGCGGGGAAAGGCCCCGGGCAGGAAGCAAGGCTTGCGTTGTGTGAAGAAGGTGACATTGGTGCTGGAGATGCTAACTCTCCCAGACAGAGGAAGGCGACGTGGCAAGTCAGGGAAAGGAGGAGGGCGGCAGGAGGCCCGGCTGGAGGCCTCTCATTATGCCCTGCAGACGTGCTCTGCCCTCCGGGGGGCTCTGGCCCCGTCCAGAGTGCTCGGGGTGCCCGGGCCCCATGTACATTCCTGCGGCTTCATGCTGTCGCTCTTCAAGGTGGGCTCTGAACACTGCCTTCCTCGGAACAGAGTCACCACCCTGAAGCAATGCAGTGAATTTATACTCGATGCAAGAGATGGTAACAGAGAGACAGTCCTCCCGCCGGGCTGGGTCTCAGTTTCTCCATGCAGGAAGTGGGATGTTGGATCTCTGGAATCCCCAGTGGCCCCTGGTTTTGGTCAGCTCCTCCGCCCACCTCCAGAGCTCCTAGCACCGTGTCCTTCGGGCTCCTTATGGTCAATGCTGCAGAGAAGTAAAACAACACGCATCTATGTTTCCTGCTGTGTGGGAGGCAGGAAATGGCCCAAGCCCCTAATTGGGATGAGGTTCCTGCGGTGTGTCCAGCCGCCCACTCCTCAGCAGCCCCCACCCTCGCAGGTGTGTCAGCCGGGAAGGAGGGCACGTTCGGTCATCAGCAACAGGAATCCGTCCCCTACCCATGTTCCCAACCGTGTCCCTGCCTCTGTGGCATGTAAAAGTGTCACGCTGTGGATACAGACAGTGTTTGCTGAGCGTCCTCTGCAGGGGGGGGGGGCAGGGCATGCCCAGGGTGGCCCCGGGGTCAGAATCTAGGCTGGGCACCACTCTCCCACTGGCCACACACGGACAGAGCTAGGAAGGGTAGCAGCTCCTTGGAGAAACTTGTGTTCAGGCAGAATTTGATGCTCTGTTGTCAGCCCAGAGAGGGATCTGAGTGAGGGTGGGATCATCAGGAACCGGGAAGACCAGGTGAAAGCAAGCATCACGGCAGTGGGAAGGCAGGGACTGACGCTGTCGCGGCAGTGGGCACCCAATAGAGAGCTGGGTCCAGGCAGAGGGTGCCGTGAAGGGGAACTCTCTGGCTTGGGAAATCCACTGTGCCCCTTACGGTGTCTCTCCTAGCGGAATGCAGGCGGGGCTCCTTTGTGCCTCAGTTTCTAATAGAAGCCAGATTAGAATCACAAGATAGGACCCTGCCCCACACCTTGCACCCTGCCTCCTGCCCCTTGCCTCCAAGAAGGAGGGCTTGCAACCCACGGCATTCTTTTTTTTTTTAATAATTTTTTTATTGTTATGTTCACCACCATACATTACATCATTAGTTTTGTGCATAACACCCAGTGCTCCACGCAGAACGTGCCCTCTTTAATACCCATCACCAGGCTAACCCATCCCCCCACCCCCCTCCCCTCTAGAACCCTCAGTTTGTTTTTCAGAGTCCATCGTCTCTCATGGTTCGTCTCCCCCTCCGACTTACTCCCCTTCATTCTTCCCCTCCTGCTATCTTCTTCTTCTTCTTCTTTTTTTTCTTAACACATATTGCATTATTTGTTTCAGAAGTACAGATCCGTGATTCATCAGTCTTGTACAATTCACAGTGCTCACCATAGCACGTACCCTCCCCAATGTCTATCACCCAGCCACCCCATCCCTCCCACCCCCCACCACTCCAGCAACCCTCAGTTTGTTTCCTGAGATTAAGAATTCCTCATATCAGTGAGGTCATATGATACATGTCTTTCTCTGACTGACTTATTTCACTCAGCATAACACCCTCCAGTTCCATCCACATTGTTGCAAATGGCAAGATCTCATTCCTTTTGATGGCTGCATAATATTCCATTGCAACCCACGGCATTCTTGACATTCCAGTTTCATATAAACCGTGCCGTTTTAAGGTTGGAAAAAAGACCATGTAAATAATCCACCATACAGGTGGGTGGTGAGTACCCAAGTTCCTGTAGCGAGTGGCAAGCTCCTAACTAGAACTCAGTGCCCTGACCCCCAATCTAGCACGCCAGACTCCCAGCAACAAACAGAAGGGATGGCCCTTCGATCCGTCTCCCAAGGCCACAGAAAATTAAGAAAGGTAAATGGAAATCCAACCAATAATCAAGAGGCATGAACAAGAGCGGGCTGTTTTATAAAGTACGCCTTGTCTTGGTGTGAGCACATGGGACTTGGAAACCATGCGCTACCTCGGCCCTCGGCTCCTCACTGCAGGTGCCCCAGCAGGGCCCCTTCCGGCACTTCATGGACATGAAGGCAGAGAAGAGACTGGCCAGCCGGAAGGAGCGCCGCAGTCACTTTGGAGACATCAACGTGCACAAGTGCTATCGGTTTGGGCAGATCTTCTCCCCTTTCCAGGCCCTCGCCACAACGGTGAGCAAGCTTCTCCTTGGAAAAGGGTTTGTAAGACTTTCAGTGAGAACACGGACAAACCCCAATTCTTTCCACTTTTAAGAGATGTGTTAGTCAGTCCTGGTCACAAAATTGCTGCATAACAAACTACCCTAAAATTTACTGGCTTACCATTACAGCCCCCCATGTTTCTCACTTGCTAGCCTGCAGAGAAATACACTCATTCCATTTCTATTGACTGCAAGTTCGTAGGTAGGAGGGAGTGAAGAACTGAAAACAATAATCCCATCTACCACAAGAAACTAACTGTAGCCTAGTCCCTAACAGACAGTAACCTTAGGTTTAGGGGGAGATCTGAAGGCAAAAGTGTTGCAGCTGTGGTGTTTTGAAATAAGACCATTTCAAGAAGAGAGAGAGGTCTGGGGAAGAGGGAAATTTTGGGGATAAGAGAAGGTGGTTCTGGCTCCTATCCCTCTACCCTACCTGTGACCTTCTGGACTCAGGTCAATTCAAGTGAGACCATTCCAAAATGCATTTCCTTAAAACCATTACTGTGATGTCTTTCTAGACATACATGCTTATGATTCTAACATTTGAGTGTGCGTATGAATCACTTAGGAAGCCTGATTATAATGTAAATTCCCAGGCTTATAGTGATTTCAGTTCAGAGGGTTTGGGTGGGGTCTTGGAATTTCCTTTGTTAACAAATTCTCTGTTCACCACCTTCGTGCATTGTCACTCGGGCACTCCTTCCCAACCTTGTTCACTTCATCAGTTGGCAGCATGACCTTGTTTTCCTATGGATGGGGAAGAGCAGCACCCATGTGTTGGGTTTGTACCATGTGGCAGCTAAAGGTTTTACCAATCCTTAATCTTCATGACCTCCACCACATTAACATCACTCTCACGTTATCGATGAGCCAAGAAAAGCTGAGACATGTTAAGTAACTTGCCCAAGATTATCATTGCTCAGTGCAGAGCCAGGATATGAACCTGCTATGCTAGAGCAAGTGTTCCCTGCCCCCCACACTGTACGTCATTGCCATTATTCTCCACCTCGTAGGAGATGCAAAGACTGGTGTTTCCCCGAGACCTGCCCATGAGTCCACACCTGCAGAGAATGGGAATTTCCTGTACCGCTGAAGGGAATCTCCAGGATTTATCCTTGTCTTCCACAGAGCTGGGTGTGAGAAAGGATGACAGCAACCACGAGAAAGAGAAGCCAGCGAGTCACATTAAAATGCCTTTATTCCCCCCAATAGTTAAAGCAACAAAATCTAATGACATGAAATAATAAAAATTTTAAAACTGCATTCTGGCACCTTATTGCAAGGCTTTGCATTAAAACAGTTAGAGACCAGAGACTCAGGAACACTGAAACGTTCTCAAACCTGACTTAACATTTAGATAATTTGAGAGCCACCAACATGCCTCTGTGTGAATATTCTGGGGAGAGTGAGACAATTAGGAGCTGCAATACTTAACTAGAACTGAATCCTCAATAGGTTTTTCTCAGAAGTCTAAAGATGGGGGCAGGGACGGCTACAGTTCAATGAATCAAGAACCCCACTCTTTCCATCTCCTGCTCTACCATCACCAGAGTGTTGGATGGCAACCTTGGGATTCACTCCTCGTGGTGACAAAGTGGTTGCCACTGCACCAAACACCACATCCTCACATGAGCACATCAAACACAGGAAGACCAAAGTTTCTCCTCATGCTGCAAATACATGCACACGTGTACACACACACACATACACACAAGGAGAACCTTTTCTGGGAACCACTCAGCAGATTTTTCAGCAATTCTCCTTGCCTAGGATGGTGCCGCTTGCCCATGCTATAACCAAAAGGAAAGCTGGAAAGCAAGTTCTACCACCACTGAAAGAAAGTAATAAAATGACTGATGGGGGATCAATCAATGTCTGCCACAGTGGACACTCACTAGTGTGCAGGTCAGACCATTACAGTGAGAAATTTCTGTTTGCGCTGGGTGAAATCTATCTTCTTATAATTTTTAAACATCTATCCTAAGGTTGCTCCTCCAAGAAGCCTCCTCCACCTTAACTGGCTTTCATTTTCCTTTGATTTTGAAAGTAGTGGATCGGGGCACCTGGGTGGCTCAGTCGTTAAGCGTCTGCCTTCGGCTCAGGTCATGATCCCAGGGTCCTGGGATCGAGGCCCCGCATCGGGCTCCCTGCTCTGCGGAAGGCCTGCTTCTCCCTCTCCCACTCCCCCTGCTTGTGTTCCCTCTCTCGCTGTGTCTCTCTTTCTGTCAAATAAGTAAATAAAATCTTGAAAAAATATAAAAGTAATGGATGCTTATAATAAAAACTACTCTAAAGTCCAATCAAGAGAATAACAATGACCCAAATCACACCTTTTAGAGACAACTAGTGTTTGCATCCGGGCACTTTTAGATTGCTTTTCATTCTCTTGCCATTATTGATCATGCCAGGTTTCCTTTGGGTCTCGATCTCTTTCCCATAGTTTTCACTGGGTTGCCATTTGCTACCATTGCCTGACACCTCTTGACAAGCCATCTGATCCACTGGGTCCCTTCTCTTGTTGCCATGGTTACCGAAGCCATGGTGTCTTCTTCCTTATAGCATTGTCCTACAGAAGACACCACAGTTCCTCCTCTTCGGAGCACATGTCCTTTTTCTTTTATCTTTTTTTTTCTTGGAGTTTCTTTTTTAATTTAATTTACTTTTATTTTAAATGCTAGTATAATTAACACATGGTGTTATGTTAGTTTCAGGTGTACAGTAGAGTGATTCAACACTTCCATTCAACACCTGGTGCTCATCACAAGCCCATCCCCCCCACCACACTCCCCTCTGGTAACCATCAGTTTGTTCTCTATAGTTAAGAGCCTATTTCTCGGTTTGTCTCTCTTTTTTTTCCCCTTTGCTCATTTTTTTGTTTGTTTCTTAAATTCCACATACGAGTGAAATCATATGGTACTTGTCTTTCTCTGACTGACTTATTTCGCTTAGCATTATACTCTCTAGCTCCATGTCATTGCAAATGGCAAGATTTCATTCTTTTTATGGCTGTGTAATATTCCATTCTTCCAAAGAAGACATCAGCTGGATATATACATATATCTCCTCTTTATCCATTCACCTATGGATGGACACAGCTGCTTCCATAATTTGGCTATTATATATAATAATGCAACAAACATAGGGGTTCATGTATCCCTTTAAATTGCTGTTTTTGTATTTGGGGGGTAAATACCTAGTAGTGTGATTGCTGGATCATAGGGTCATTCAATTCTTAATTTTTTTGAGGAACCTCCATGCTGTCTCCCACAGTGACTGAACCAGTTTGCATTCCTACCAACAGTACATGAGTGTTCCTTTTTTTCCACATCCTCGCCAACACTTGTTTCTTGTGTTTTTGATTTTAGCCATTCTGACAGGTGTGTGGTGATATCTCATTGTACTTTTGATTTGCATTTCCCTGATGATGAGTGATGCTAAGCATCTTTTCATGTCTGTTGGCCATCTGGATAACTTCTTTGGAGAAATGTCTGTTCATTTCTTCTGCCCATTTTTAATTGAATTATTTGTTTTGGGGGTGTCGAGTTGTATAAGTATTTTATATACTTTGGATACTAACCCTTTATCAGATATGTCATTTGGAAACACATCCTCTCTCAATCTGAGGCAAACAGCTCCCTCTGCAGCTGTGTTGATTAATTGCCTGCTTGCTTTTCATCTTACTGATATCACTTACAATTAACACAGGCAAAATTTTATATTTTAGTGTTTCCCATTTTGCCTGAGCCAGAGATCCACAAACTATGGTTCTCTGGCCAAATCTGGCCCTCCTCGTGTTTTTATAAATAAAGTTTTATTGGAACACAGACATGACAGTTTGTTTACATATTGTCTACTGCTGCTTTCATGCTACAATAGCAGAGATGAATAGTTGCAACAGAGACCCAAAGCTGAAAATATTTACTATCTGGCTCTTTACAGGAAAACCTTGCTGAGCTGTCTGAACCCAGATTTCCCTTTGTAAGTTCTGGCTAATGTACCTGCTTTGCTGACCTTAGGTTTTTAAAATTTTTCCATAAGGTCTATGATTATGTCCATCTAAATTTTCCATCACAAATATGAACTCAAGTAACAGTAACACTAACAGCTAAAATTTATCGCATACTGATATTTACCATGTACTAAGTGTATCGATTCATTGACTTTCAGCAAGCTCACTATGAAGTAGGTACTACTATTATGCCCACTTTCCAAAGAGGAAAACAGAGTCAAGAAACATAGCTAATAAGTCGCAGAAGCAGAATTTGGACCCAGGAGACCTCTGTGTGGTTTTGCCCACCTTCTTGGGGATGAAATTACCAGCAAAGGAAGTCAAGAACGTATCCAGTTCCTTTTCTAGAAGGATCCATGGTAGAGGGCTGTCTAATGCTGCCCCCATCACTACTCTACCTGCCTGCAGGCTAACTGGCCACCTGGGTTAAGAAACCATCCTGCATATCTTGTGCATAACCTGGCAGTTTGTGTATAAGCTTCCGGATTTCTCTCCTTTTATTCCGTGAGCCACTCCTTCCCACCTGCTGTTTCCATACCACAGGAGGATTCCATACCCAAAGGCCAAGCTCTGTATGGGGGCCAGTGAGGGCTTAACATCAGTGCTACCCAACCGGGGCATGTTTTCCTTTAAACAAGGTGTAGCCTTCCACCCAGACCGGAGCAGAGAAAAAGCTCTGGACAATCACAATGGAAGCCAATGAAAGCTTGAGACCCACAGAGGAGATTTCCAACACTTAGCCCATGTGCTCCAGCATTAAAACGAAGAACTGTCAATTTATTTCACAACTGACAATACATCTGATTTATATACAGCTTTGCAGGAACCCATTAATACACAAGGCAAGACCTATGTAGACAGAGCTTTCTTCTACTATCGGCTTCAAGCAAGGCAAGATTCATCAGTGAGAAGTAATAATGATGGCATCAGCCAGCATATCCTGAGTAATCACTTTGTTCCAGGCCCTGTGTTAAAAGCTTTTGTGGCGTTACCTCATTTAATCCACACTATTGTTCCACTACAATAATCCACTAGTATGAAGTTTTGAGAAAGTACAAGAACACCATCACACGCCTGCCTCCTCTCTTGTGCGGGCATTTGAGAAGCACCCTCTAGAGCCTGGACATGCTCTCCCAGGCCTGTCCTCTGCCCCACAGCCCCAACGAGCAGCAATTTCTATTCCACACTTGCTCAGAACCAGCACACACATTCTTACCCATTCTGTTCTTTTTTTTTTTTTAAAGATTTTATTTTTTATTTATTTGACAGAGAGATAGAGAGCACAAGTAAGCAGAGAGGCAGGCAGAGAGGGAGAAGCAGGCTCTCTGCTGAGCAGGGAGCCTGACGTGTGGCTCGATCCCAGGACCCCAGGATCATGACCTGAGCCGAAGGCAGCCGCTTAACCGACTGAGCCACCCAGGTGCCCCTACCCATTCTGTTCTTTGCTCTTTTCTGAGCTATCTTGATAACTTCACCCATGCCTCTCCGACAAATGCCAATGGATTCATCTGCCATTGCTTGGAGATAACATCTTTCAATTTTGGCTGCTGCCTTCTGGGGCTCTGGCGTAAAAAGTGAGGGCACCCACCACCCGGCAGCTGAGGGGGAGGGCAGGCGGTTTCCACGCCGAGAACCCCTCAAGGGAGCCGCTGGGCCTTTGGCGGCGTATGGTTCCGTAAGGGGGGAAGTTAGGAGGAAAGCAGGGGAATGGGGAGAAGGCTCCTGGGATGGTGAAAAGCTTAAGATCGGCTTGAGGATGGGCTCTGCCCCTCACAACCGTGGCCTGGGGCAAGATGCGTGGGACGTTGAGCCATCTGATTCCTGGTCAGAAGCCTCGGTGTGACTTTTCAGGCCTAACCACAGACAGGGAATTGCAATCAGTCTCAGGCCCCTCTGGCCCCATGCTTTTCTTACATTTGGAGAACCTAGCCGGGCGCCTTCATTCTTGGGTCTCTTTACCCGAGGTCTTGGGTAGACAGGGTTCTTCCTCAGAGCCTCTGCCAGGCAGAGGGAGGGGTGAAACCATGACATTTCCCCACCCGGATGCAGTCCCCAGTACTTTTCCGCTCCCAGCCCCCCTCCTCTCCCCTCCGACCCCAGGGTGCATAAAACTACAGGGCCTTTTGTTGGGGTTCCCTTCGCAACGAGACCACCTGCCCTTCGCTGTTCGTCAGGGGAACAGAATTGGGGGTGGTGTTTCCTCCGGTTTGGGACTCCTGCTTCTACCATCGCAGTGAGGAAACGCTTACTCT